CTGAGGTTTTGCAAAGTTCTGCAAGTTCTAGGCCTTTGAAGTTGAACAAGGTGGTTCCTATTGTTATATCATGTTTTGCATATGCCTAGTTGAGCTATGAGATGTTTTTCCGATGAAGGGTATTAAGGGATACAAGATTTGATTGTTCTCATAAGATTCCTGAAAATTTATGGAGTTTGGGTGAGTTAGAACCTTTGGATTCGAATGGTATCAATTTGCTTAATCAATACCATCTGTTAATTCCAACCTAAAAGAGAATTCCTGCCTAACGACACTAGCTTTTGTTGGGAGCACCTTCGGCCATTGGACTGAGAGGTTAGGTTGAACTAGCATTTCATGGAAATTATCCTTGTAGATTTCTTCTACCAGAGCTTGACAATTTGAAGAGCTTGGAACCTCTATACCTAGGAGATCGATAATCAATTTCACTTGGAGGGGGATCTGGCATTAGTTTACTCAGCCTTACTTGATTCAAATTGATTGCACGGAATCTATTAATAAAACAACTTTTTTGTTCGTTAGACTTGTTGTATTGCATCTTTGCAAACTTGGATAGGGAAGATGAGGCGAAGTCTAGATTAGTGGGAACTAAACCCACTAATTTTACTAGTTGTACAATGTCAAAACATTAGCTACAGATTAGGTAGCTCCAACACCAGAACAGTGGTATCAACAACTATCAACAACAATATTAGCATCATGGAAGTTCACATCACCTCCCGGTCGTGTATTCGGAACATCTCCCGATGATGGCATCATCAGTTATGATACTATTATTTGAAGATGTTCTCAATACACGATTGGGATGTGCTATGGGGTGTCCCCTTGTGGGGCGGAGATGTGAACTCGCATCATGGTTTATAGAAAATGAGTAGAGAGATTTATAGAATGAGATCCAAGACATGAATACAAGTCTACAATCTACTAGTCATGATTGCATAGTAGCTAGGGTTCGAGGTCGTTTGTCATTCGAATATCGTCAAGATGATGTAATTAAGGTTGTGTTTGGTTGCAATACAAGTAATTTTGCACTGATGCAAAACTATGACGGTGCAAATGATTTGAGTGTAAATTTTGACCTATCTTTGTTTCAAATGTTAGTTTGTTTTGTTTGATTGCAATGCAAATGAAGTAATTTAGGACATGAAGCAGAATAAAGTAAAACCCAAAACAAAATTAAATTAGAATTTGCATTTTCTTCATTTGCACTCTTATGCATTTGTACTAGTGCAAATAAAATTGCACAACAAAATGCTGCAAAGGAAAATGGTAGCATGATGGATGTATGCCCGGAATCAACCCAAAACTTGCTTTCACAATTAAGGTTTGCTAAACATGAGAAGCCACCTTCCAATTCTAGTCCAATTAGATGTGAGGATCAAGATGATATTGTAGGTGGAGGTTGTCATAGTGACAGAAGAAGCCGACTAGCAAGTTGTAATAGTGACATTCCTAGTGATATTGCTCTAGCAATTGTGTCAAGACATTCCATCCAGTTTCTGTAGACTAGCAAGTAGCTACTGACCTTGTAGAAGGTGATAATGTTGTTTATGGCAAAGATGCAGGTTGTACTGCTAAAGGGGACAGAATGGATGTTGAAGTTGAATCCAACCAAATTTGTGTCTGAATTTAGGGCTAGCTCTCTCGGCATAAAATTGAGAGTACATGTGCTTCTCTGGATATACCATGGTTTTAAAAAGCAACCTAAAAATGGAACTGTTATGGCCACTGGTTTCTGGGTCGAAGATTCGACTGTTTAGTTTGAACAGATTGCCCGTTCTGACAAAAAATTAAAAATAAAAGGTCAAAACCGTTAAACGGGTCAACGATTCAACTGCCCGAATCATTAACTGATTCAACAATTTTTTATCAGGGACCAGATTTAGAATAAAATAGAACCATTTACCTGAACGGTTCCTAGGCCGAACAGCTCAATTGTCTAGATCAACACTAGTTCGAAAACCATGGGATATACACATAATGTGTAGTTTAACAAATGAAAGAGCAAACATGCAGTATATATCTAACAAATTGTAAGTCACTACTAATTGGAAACCGCTAGAGGTGGCATCAGTTCAAGCTAATGGATACCAAATTATTACATGGTTTTCTGATGTAGATTATATATATATATATATTAGATTTACAATATGCCACGCTCTCTTCAGTTCAATCATGATCTGTTAGATTTACAATATTGGCTTTTAAACCCGATTTGACATCAAGCCCGGTACCATTGGCACCTGTTGTTGCTATAAATCCATCCTTGTGGTGTCTTCTGGACCATTAATTGTTCAAGTGGTAGCTGGTGCAGTAACAATGAATTCAAAGGTTAACTCTCCTACATCAGCTATTGTTACCTCACCAATTTCGGCTCCATGCAGCACTAAAGTTCTTGTCGCTTCTGCTAGCACAACTGCTACAGTTATGAACAATGCTTTGTTGCAATTGGTATGGATTGAGCTTCTACTCGTGATATGGAGAAAGCAAAGATAAGCTTTTAATGGTGTGCCCTTGGCTTATACGAGTAACTGCTCTAAGGCTTTGTTTGTAATCTGGTAAGTTATTTATTCGGGTAAATGTAATTATCTAGGTAAGTTTTTTCTGGAAAACATTTACTTAGGTAAGTGCATTTATCCATGTTTTTGTATTTCTTAGGTAAATAATGTAATTATTATTTTAGTCATAAAAATCCATTATTAAAATGGGCATTTTTGTCTCATTTAAGTATTGACAATTTTCCCCCTAGGTGGGAAAGTTATTTACCCCCTCGGTAAATGATAYACAGGAAAATAAACTTTTCGTAGTCCCCATATAAATCTGAAAAAAAAAAAAGAACATGAGGTTTTTGGTCAATGGGAACCAAAATCCCATTGACCAACTTTCCCCCCTCTCAAAATCCAAAAAAGGAATGCCCCCCTAAAAGAAAAAAAAAAGAGAAAAAATAAAAACAAGAGAGAAGAGGTGGGGACAAATTAAAAAATTTTAAAGCACTTCCATGGGACTAATCTTTAATCACAAGAGATATGGTGCACTAGAAGTTCCCGGAGAGTGGTGCAAACCTTGATATTTCACTAAAGAAACTAACAAACATTGTTGAGGCCCTTGACTGACTGGCCCGTTTCAAAATATATCTAGGGTCGGCCAAGAGAATTAATATATTAAGAAAAACAAAAAAAAAAAACAAAAGAAAAAAATGAATAAAAAATAAAAAATGACAAAAAATGCAAAAAGAAGAAAAAAGGGGAAGAGGGTGAATAAAATTGATTAAAAATACAAAAGGGGTAAATTTTGAGAAGTGAATAAATAGGAGTGGGAAAGTAGAGGAATTTCTCTAAGAGGTAATAATGAAAAAGATTAATAATAATAATAATGATAATAATAATAATAATAATGATAATAATAATAATAATACAAAAGGGGTAAAGTCATAATAAAATATGACTTTAAGAAAGTTGGAATAAAAACCAAGAGTAAATATTATAAAAAATAAAAAAACAAAAAATAAATAGAAAAATCAATCAAAAAGAAAAAAAATAAAAAAAGCCAAAAACAAAGAGAAAAAGGAGAAAATAAAAAATAATAATAAAACTGAGAAAAAGGATATAAAAAATAAGATAATGCAAATGAGAAAATAAAAAAGAATATAAAATTTCTTTTGTATGCTTTGGTTATAATTGTGAACTTTGGAGTAGAGCAAACTTTTCTAGGTCCTTGAATAAAACTTGTGTGTTGCTAGTTGGTAATTCATCATGTTCTCTTTCCTTTGTAAATTAAAAAAAAAATGAAATGAAAAATGATTGAAAAGAATAATATGAGCTTTTTCATGTTTCAAACTTGTATTAGTTGAAATAAATTGCTTAGTATTAATGCTTTAATCTAAGTCAAGTGTCTTTTCACTCATTTTTAATTACTATGTCTTACAAATATTTTTTTTAAATCTTCTGTTTTTTAATGTTTTTTATGATAGAGGTCCACATTGTTTGTATCATAGTGCATTTTGCATTCCTTCAACATAGTTGGCCATAAAGTATTAGCAATATTTATAGCCACAGAGCAATATTATGTTGTCTTCCTGAATTACTTCTTCCTAGCACCCCTAGTTATGCCATTTTCATTCTACTGCAATTAGAGGCTAATAAATCAATACCCACTGCACTCAGTTCTTTAGCTACCACTTTTCCAGGCTAATAAATCAATACCCACTGCACATAGTTGGCCAATTCATAATGGCCTACCCTCTTCGCAGGTGGCTAGATCCATTCATGACTTCATGCATATATTTTATTTGCACGGATTTTCACGTCACCTGGTTCTGAACTAAGGGCAAACAAGTTTCACCATGATTTTCTCGGTGTTTTGTCAGTGCATGGTTTTCATGTAAATTTTGTTTTCTGCATATAGCTACGGACAAAACCGTAGCTAAAGATAAAAAAAAAAAAAAAAAAACGATAGCCATAAACATATAGCTACGGACCAGCTAAGGTAAAAAAACTATAGGTATAGTTGCAGTGGCAATAGGTTATAGCTACGAACACTCGAATCCGTACCTTAAACCCACCTATAGCTATGGCCCATGTCCGTAGCTGAAGGTTCAAACTTATAACCATGCATTTTTTTGCTACGAACAAAACCGAAGCTAAAGTTTACATATAGCTACAGTAAATTGACCGTAGCTAAAATTGTGAATCTATAGCTACGGTTGGATTTATGACCGTGGCTAAAAATGTGAATTTATAGCTACAACTTCAGTTTGTTGGTAGCTAGAAATTTGAATTTATAACTATGATTCCTCAAAACTGTAACTAAGTCTTAAATTTTTCTGGTATTAAATACAAATACCACTTATTTAATTCATACTATATTTTGGAACTTGAACACATTTCCAATAAAGCTTTTATTCTTAAAACAATAAATTACATCTCATGTGTATATCATATACATCCATATGTTCGAAATATATTACAAATTCAAGTTGCTTTTATACATTAAACTCAATCCAAAAAAGTAAATAAATTTGACATTTGAAATTTGATCAAAATTTTCTCCATCTGCACATGTAAAGTATCTCCTTGAGAATGTTAAACCTATAAAAAATAACTGAAAATAAGTTAGAAATATGGATATGAAGTTATGTATGAAAATTTAATTAATTGTGCTATGCTCAACCAAAAAACAAATACAATGGCAAACATAACTAGTAAATTGGTGGAGAAAAGATTATGTAAATTTATCAATAAGAGATTTAATAGAGAAGGTTGAGGAATGGTGTTTAACACTTCATCTCTTTTGTAGTGCTAAATTTCAAGACAAAAAGTTTCAAGAAAAACCTCTTGGACTAATCATTACAACACTATAGGCGTTTCTAATCATTGAGTTGTTAAAACCTCTTGTATTTTCTATTGCCAAGAGGTGAGGAAGCTCAATCAGGTTATTACCAACTTTATTAGTAACCTATTATTGGGACTTAATGAAGAATAAGTGTTCACAAAGTAAGAGCCTAGAGTTTTTCTCTACTTGTGGTAGTTATTCCCTTCTCCTATTCTCTAGCTTTCTCTAGTTTGAACCATTATTACATGGCATCAAAGAAACTACGGTGATTGGCTACTTGTTATTTTCTTCCAATTTCAACTATTATTTTGAATTTTACTTCTCTTCCTAGATCTAATTTTTCAACTCTTATAAACTAGTCCCAAGAAACCTGTTAGTTATAAGACATTGAATGGTCATTTTAACTGGCAAGATGATAGTGTCACTTGGTGGTTTGGTGGTCCTCCATTTGATGTTTCAAAGAAGAGGGCTATTGGTGAACAGTGTGGAACATTCACATGTGGATTTTATCCTTAGTCTAGTGGTGTGCTTCAGTTGTGTAATGTTTTCAAGCTCTCAAGTTAAGTGGAGTGAGGATTTTGTCCTTAAATCCTCTATTCTCCCTTCCATCAACAACCTACGGGATTTCAAGGATTAAAATTTTGTTAATGTGTTCCGTCCACGGAATTTACTACTTAAAAGGTTGAACATATATATTTTGTTCTCCTGTTTTTGGGGACCTTACTTTTTATTTGACCCATCATGCATCCTTATAACTTTGGACTTTAATATAATATGAAGCTATGCCATAGGGTTGTCAATCCTTGACCATGCAAACAGTGTTCAATCCTATATTCAATCTATGGGCCCTTGAATAAGTCAGGTTGTCCTGCATATTGATTTTAAACATAATCAGCCTACCTAAGAAGGGAAAGTACCATGCTCATTGGAAGAAATGAAGTATGTTTCCTTGAGTGGGTACTCTATATAATACACTCTTAGTGTTGCTGCAATATGACTTGTTGCCATGAAGTATGATGTAATAAAGCCCTAGGGCATAAAAATATGTAGAAAACAAAGAATGATTCATTACCCAATTAACCTTCGATATTTATGATTCTAAAACACATGTTGCTTCCTCAACCAATTCCAGTACCTACATAAATAACAAGGGAAAAAGGAAATGGTGAAACATGGAAATAGAATTATAGTTGAGTTTGAAGGAAAATTAAAAGATAACACCATAAATTTTGGGAAACTGAGCTTTGCCGTAATTCACAGACAAAAAAGGTTACACAGATTATGAATCCAACATTGGAAAGTAAATACCAATAAAGTAAGTTGTTCAAGTAGTGAAAGGGAATTGAGGATCCCAAGAAGGTCCTTTCAACTCCAATGTAGGTATATTGTTCATCTTTGTAATTAATTTTCAACTAATTATGAGCAGCCATGAGTTGTGGTTATAGACCAATTCTGTTTTATCCCCTATATAGAATTATGATTTTGCAAAAGCTAACCTTTTCCTAATGAATTTGAAAATAGTTAGAATTTTCTGAATTGGTTTCACTTGGGTTCAATGATAAACCAAATATATCTCTAGGAACTGAATTTTGTTGTAGGATAAGAAAAGTTTAACTCGTCCACCTAGATTAAGAAAGATAAGAATAAGAACCTCATTAAGTCAGGTTGGAGATGCACAAATCTCTTCCAATTACAATACAACTTTCCAACCACAACTTCAATTTGGTACCAATTTAGACTCCAAGAATGAAGCGGTCCACCAATTCTTTACCTGGAAAGCATAGTATAACTAGGTAAATTGTTGTATGAGATATACTTTAACATCATTAATACACATGTTCTATAACTTAAGCTTCACCCTCAACAGGAAGTTGTGCTACAAAATGTCTTTGTTTTACTTTAAGTTCACAAGATGGGTTGGATATTACCATTCTATACAAGTTTGAGGATTTTCTATAAATTATATAATTGCAAAACAGGAGAACAGATGAAAAATGTTTATCATTTGGACCAGCTAACTTCTAATCCAAAATTTCCAAGATAAAAAAAAATAAAAAAAATAGCAGCATTGTTTTCAATGTTCCAAAAGTTTGGATTCCCATGCCCCATTGTATGAGCTAAGACAAATTCTCATATGTGTAGCCTAAAGACTTAAAAATAGTGTTTGTCTTTGTCCTAAAGCAAGTGGATGATTAAATATGACTAATTACTTTACTTTTAAATATAATAAAATATTTAATGGGGTAGTTTTATATGTCATTAATTGGTGTTTTCCACCACCTCTACTCTACATCTAAACCTTAAGTATGGAAGTATGGAAGACTAAAAATAAATCACCACATGGAATTCCTTTAGGAAATAGTCACTTTATTACACAATTTCAAGTAGATGGGATTTGCTCAATATTTTGGGAACATTTTTTGTCCATCTCACAGGGCTTCCTTAATCAGTGCCAATATCTACTATAGTTAGCAAAAGTTGAACTCAAGTGGGATGAATATCTCCAAGCATTGGACATTAAAAGCAAATGGTAGAACTATACGCCTCTAGTATTAAAATGATGGAAAGAGATAGAAAGGGACTAACGGGAAGTTGAATGAGAAAAATGGAGGAAGAGAAACTTGATGTTGATGTTATGATCCATTGCCTTCCGAAGCTTAGAGCTGAATTCGACCTTGTTTTCATGAAACAAACACAAAGAATATTAAAACCTACTCTTGACTAAACTTTGTTGTTCGTTGAGGTACTTGAGGACAAAGAAGATTAAACTAATTTGTATTAGGGCTAATGGATGATCCAGAGCAGAGGGAAATGCTTAAAATCTACTCTTGATTAGAAAAGAAAAGGAAAAAATAGAAGCAAGGCTTTCATTGTTTGACCAAACCTCCAAATACCTGATAGAGAATAGGTTCACCATTGCAGGTTAGATGGTGCTCCACCATAGATTTAGCTTGGTGCTGGTTGGAATCCAAAGAGAATGGTGAAACCGGTTTGGTTGCTGCGAGCGAATGAGCAAGAAATAATGGAAGAATGAGACAGAGGAGGAGAGGAGGGAAATAAATCAATCAAAATTTCAACTGCGCGTTGTACCAAAAAAATTCAACTACGCACTTGAAGGCCGAACTATTTCTGTGTCGCGGGATAGTGTTTCAACCATTATATAAATCAATATTTTAAAAACTAACCTGGGGTCGGGTGGGCCTGATTCCGGGCCTACATCTATATATAAAATTTTCAATATTTCATATTAAATGGCATATAATATATACAATGTTTTTAATTTATTGTTGATTGAACCATCCAAATCTTCATCTGATCACAATTCTGGTCTAATTCTCATAAAACCTAATAATCAATCAAAAAGCATTTACTTGGTAAAAAAATAGCCAAATTCAGGCGGGTGAACCATTCGACTTATTAAATGTATATTAAACTTTTGGAGGACATAACTTTTTGTATTCGAGTTTGTGATTAAGGTAAACTTTTTTAATTATTTAGGTAATTTTTAGATATTTATGTGTTCCATTTTTGTTTTCAAATTGTAATTTTTAGAATTTTTTACAAATAAAAAAATGAATTTAAATATAAAATAACAAATTATTACTTATATACATATATTACAAGTAAAATATTATTATACATTATTTTATCAATAAGATTCATCTATACATAGATAGACATTGGCATGGCATGGTCTAACCCGTTCAACTCGGACAATTGAACCAATGACCCGCAACCCATAGGTAAGCATGGTTTGGCCTTCAGGTTAGCTTTTAAAACATTGAATATGCATATAAATTTATACTATATATTTTACAATATAATATATATATATTATAATAATTATATTTATAATAGATAATATAATGGTTTTCGAAGTGTCGTTGACTTAAATGGTCAAATTGTTTGGCATGGGAATCAGTTAGGGTATGGATTTTGTTTTGACCCCAAACCGGAATTTTGCCTAAAATCGTTGATTAGGTTAGTGGCCCATTGACCAAAGCAGATGTACTATTGACCCATTCAACCAAGACAATAGTTTTCAGCCATTTCTTATTTTAATTATTTTTAAATTTTGTTATTTTTGAATTGTCACAATCCAATATGTTCGGCCCGGACAATTGAACCACTTACCTGAAAACCGATGGCCAAAGAAGCTTTGGTCCTAGGTCAATTTTTAAAACCTTGGAGAAAATAGGATTAGGGGTAATGATCGAATTGGCTAAGGACCTGAAACTAGTGTCAAATGCTAAAAACTAAAATAAATAAAGAGTCAAGTAGGGGTGCAAGTCGGGCGGGTTGGGTCGGGTTTGTGGTCAACCCGGGCCTGACCCTAAAATTTGGGCTTAAGGCCCAAGCCCAAGGTCAAGCCCGATTTTCCCAACCCGAGCCCAACCTGCATTATAATATGATGCACTCGGGTTGGGCTCAAGCTTGAGCCGGGCTTGGGTTGGTCAATGAAACCACTCTAAAATTATACATACATACATACATACATACATACATACATACATACATACATACATACATACATACATATATATATGTATATATGTATATATATATATATATATACACACACACACACACACATATATATATATATATATATGCAAAATTTACATATATACATTTGTATGTATAAATGTGTATAGTTGGGTTGAGCTTGGGCCGAGCTCAAGCTACCTAAGGGCTAAACCCGGGCCTGGCTCAAAAAAAATAAAAAAGCCCGACTTCTTGGACCCAAGCCCAGCCCGAGGACCGAAATCCAAACCCAACCTATGTAAAATTTCAGGGTGGGCCAGTTTGGGCTCGAGTTGGGCCTGCCCAAGTTGTACCTCTAGAACCAAGAGTTCAGTGGATTATTCACCAAATGTTAAGTTCTTATACATTGCTTTTTGCAATGGATTTGATTGGGCAATATAATTCTATAACTCCCTTGATATGGTCTTCACAACATGACCATATTAATTATTAATTAATTAAGTATTACTTTATTAAATTAATACATAATTATTAAGAAAATATTTATTTAAATTTTTAACTATTAATTTATTAATGGAATTTCTAGTAATTTAGTTTAATTGTCATTAATTAATAATTGTTCTCTCATTAATAGTTAAGTAATATTAATTAATTATCAATGATAAGTCATATTTTATTTCTTATTAGTTAATTATTTATTATTATTATATATTTATTAATAATTTATTTAAATAATGAAATTATTTTTTTATGATTAATTTTAATTAGTTTCATAATAATGAAAATATTTAGGTACATTTTAGAAATTATTATCTTTTATTTATTCATTTATGAAATTGTTAATAATTTATTTTCTACTTTAATTATTATCAGATAGTAATCATTAATTATTATTGTTAGTCATTAGTAATAAATAATTATAATTTATTAATTATTAAATGACTATTAATAGTAATTAATAAATAATGAATATTATATAATTGTTATTTATTATTTTTTCATACATTACATTAATGTTTAATCATTTTAGTAAATATTTACTAGTTTACTAATTTTTATCAATTTATTAGTGATTTAATAGATACTTTATTTGTTAATATATTTATTTTTTTTTCTAATAAATTTATTAAAACATTACCAAATATTCTACTTCTTAAGGGTAGAATTGTTGAACTTTTTTTAAATCAGGCTGACCTTGAAGTTTGTGGGCTTCATGTGAGCTCAAGCCCGGGCCAAGCCTAAACACAAAACACATGCTCAAGCCAGGAATTTTCAAGTCGGGCTAGGCTCAAATGATTACCGTTATGCAATTTCATTCTTCTATAATCTATAACCACGGATAACTAAAATTTGTAGCCACAACCATAAATAGATTTTAGCCACGGACAACTAGTTCGTAGTTGAAGGTTAATTTCATTCAGATATAACCTATAGCCATGGACAATTACAATCCATGGCGATAAATAGCCACGGACAAAATGACCATAGTAAAAGTCAACTTCTAGCTACGGACAGTTTAGGTAATATCTTATGTTTTAGTTACGATTCCTTGTGCCCGTGGCTACACTACAGTAGCTATAGACACATTTTCTTGTAGTGTAGATAATTCCTAGGTAATTTCTCTCCCCTTTCACTAGTTCAAATAATTTAATAGAATCAAAAGGGCAAATAAAGCAAATGTTTCAATAATAAACAAGAATTGTTAGTTTCCCTTCTAAACCAGAGGAATTTCTTTAGGACTGTGGCACCCATTTGTAAAAGGGTTAAGATATCGGATTCAGAAAATCGTACCATCAAGGTTAGAGAACTAATCATAAAAAAAAGGTTAGAGAACTCTATAAAGCCACACATTTGCGAAGATGTGGTCAAGTTGAAGAAAAATTTGAGGAATTAAGGCACTTCAATTCCCTCTTGCACAAGTTTTCAACAAGCTATGCATATACCAGGTTTGGAGCTACCAAAAGGAGTCAAAATTCCAAACTTTGAAAAATATAATGGAAAGGGTTGTCCTAGAGTGCATCTGAGCACATACTGTGGAGAGATATTTCAACTTGGAGTAGATAAAAAGGTACTAGTCCAGTTTTTCCAACAGAGTTTGGAAGGTAAAGCATTAACTAGGTTTGCGTAACTTGAAGTGGATAACAAAAAGACTTGAAATCAAGTGGTCATAGTTTTTTTGAATCGGTTCGATTATGGCATAGATTTGGCTCTAACAAGGGAGACATTAAAAGATGCGAGGAAAGCGTCAGGGGAAGCTTTTGCTG